ATCGTTTTATAAAATGTTGATTGCCTACATCTGGACCAGAAGTGTTGTAATATTGTAACAGATTTAACCATTTCACTTATTAATTATATTGCAAAAAGTAAATAACATTCATTCTAAGCAACTTTATTCCTATAATTTTAAGTTCAATTTTATTACGATTGATTTAGTCCTTTCACTGCTGATTTTTTATTGAAAAAAGTACAACAGAGGGAAAATTACAACGTTGTATAATATTGTTTTCAATATTACATCTAGTAAATACTCGTGGAACCGACCAATTTTGTTTGTCGACGTGTTCCTCTATTTTCACAATACGTAATTAATTCAGTATCCAAGACACTTATACTTAAATTCTTGTCGTTCTGTCACCAATATTGTAAGCAAATTCATAATTCATCGAGATCTAATTTATTTTCGGGGCTCCCTTTACTGCGCATTATTATGTAAATGTCGAGGAAAACGAAACCCTATTGTCACGCGGAAGTTTGTGACAAGTATGCAACATTTGAATGCTGTCGCTGTTTAAGAAGTCGTCAAACACGATCCCATTGAATTTTAATTGTCCCGACCGCCATCGCCCTCGAATACATTATTTTGTCAAAACAAACTTACAATAAAGTATATTTGTATACAGTGAGACGAAAGAATATTCATACAAATCTTATTACCAATTGACAATGCTATTCTCATTGTAATACTGTAGTAGAAATTGTTTATTGCCAATTATACTAGAACAATTTAGCTTTTTATTGAGGTACAGACTGGCGGAAATAATTTTTAACGGGTCATTCTGATGTGACACTTTGAAAAGGTGGATGCTTTAGTTTTAATTTATGTGTTATTCAAAAGTAAATACATTCAGATGTATCTCGTATCGATATCATGTATGCAGCTGACATCACCGTTTAGTTGTGTATCAGTACTGTTACGAATATTGAGTACATTAAACTTTAAACGCGTTTTCTCGAAACGTCATTTTTTCAAGCTGCAGAAGTAAAAAGAAAAAAAATATGTGATCGATCTTCCTCAAATTTTCACTTGTTATTCTGCACATCACTGGCTTATCTCCCAAACCACAATTATTTTTTTATGTTGCAATTTTCGTATTTTCAACAAAAATTGGAAAAAAAACTATTGAAAAATAGTGAATACATTTTTTTGTATTATTCTGATATAAATCAATGAACCAAAAAATTCCTAAAGATTCTTCAGTTTTCCAGCCGTCACACCAGAGACCAGATTAACCGAAAACTTGAGTAAACTGTCAATCGATAATAAAATTTACCGGTGTACAAATACTTTTTTTGACACTAACTAATAGTTTACAATTCATGAGGTCGATATTTATTTCTACTAAAACATAAAATAATTAATCCAAAAAATACAAATGCTTTAGCGTTTAAATAATTTTGCAGCTTAAAAGATGTGTCTCTCCATTTTAGTTCAGGGTGATAGAAATTCACTATAATAAATGTTCAAACATTGCATTCATGTCGAATGACCAGTGATCATTGAATACATCGAAACGTACCTTGAAACCTCGGAGATTATAAAATATTGCAAAAAGTGGGCGATTACGGCAACCTTCTCGGTCCTATACTCGCGACATTCACGTAGAACACACGACACAAAGAAGCGTTGCAGCATCGGGTATACCTGGTTAACGAAAGGAAAAAAAAAATATACGGCATCAAACATCACGCTAGGCTTTCGAGCATTATCTGCATTCGTATTTTTTTCCGCTGACATAGACGCAAACTGCACCGGACTTGCGCAATTTGACCGAGCATAATATGCACATTTTAGTGCGCCCTCGTACTATGCTACCTACATATATTTATACCACTTTTACTCATATCCATATTTTTTCTCGATTCTAATTATTATATTTCACGTATAATCTCAATAATTATATATATGTATACAGGGTGAACCACGAATCATAATCAGTAGAGATTACTCTGTTATTAGCAGTCCGATCGAAAATGTTTTTATCAGGTATAGCATGGTTTCAAGAGAGCTTTAACGTGATTATAGCAAATTTATTCTTTTAATCGCCGTCTACGCGAGTGCATTGCAGCTGACGGACACCATTTTGAACATCGCTTAAATTAAGGTAAAAGTTATGTTATGATACTTACCGAATTCGTCTTGAAATCCTTTAACAAATAGGCGTAAAAAAATGATAGGTGTATTTGAAAAAAAAACAGTTGACAAAAAATTTGCTGTAATCACATTAAAGCTCTTTTGAAACCATGCTATACCTGATAAAAACATTTTCAATCGGACTGCTAATAACAGAGTAATCTCTACTGATCACGATTCGTGGTTCACCCTGTATATACATAATTTTTTGGTCAAAAAGATCACTTATTTTATCAAAAAAATACTCGCAGTCTGAAGGTTAAAGGGTACTATCACGTGTCGCTTAAATCCTGAATCCTTTTCTAGCACCTAGTCCAGACTGAACACTAACAGGGTGCAGCTTTATTGAATTTGCGTGATCATCACATGCACACACAGAGAACCAGTTCACCTATTACTGTGCGTGTACTCGAACGCGTCTGCTGTCTGTGACAACGATGTATGTGTTATACCCGTCGTCCATCGGCCGGGTGCACTTGCGTTTGTCATCGGTAACTCGTCTAATAGAGCTGCGCGGCAGACGTGCTCTATACACTGGCTAAATACGCCGCTGGATGCATTAATGCACCGATATCGATGCATCCATCCTCCGAAACAAAGTCATTCGATTCCCTCCCCGAGTACTCTCAAGTCTGAATAGAGAGCAGACTTATGCATATAGGAAAATAGGTCTGTTTTCAAAAAGAACTTGTCGGCTTGGAGATGTGCCCCTTTAGAAACCAAATTGATCAACTCCACGCAATAAAACGTAATGGGAACAGTCGATATCTTCTACATTATACCCTGAGTTTAACAACGGCTGAACGTTACATGGTAATTTATTTTAAATATACGTTTTCAGATTATGACATATAAAATTCTTCAGAATAATTACCTAAGAAACGTTAGTATTGGAGAAGCTTACAGAAATTCGAGTAGATTAGTTCAATAACTCAAGAATTTGACATTTATCATTCATTAGTTCAACAGTTTGATAGTTGATTGAAGTTTTGTTTCTGACCAGTCAGATTTAGTAATAATAAATAATAGAATTCATTAGTAGACTGCGGATTTTTATATAAAATCACATTTTATAAAATAATTCGTAAAAAGAACAAAAGTTGGAATTCCCTTCTTCCCTTGAGTGTCTTATTGGGGTAAGAATGTAACAGGAAACTCGTTGCGTCTGATAGAAGTTTTGTCCTTTATTGTATTTCACGGGGCCCTATCTACCTAATCTCTAGTCTACTAATAAGTACAGTGATCCCTCGATGAATGGAACACGAGCAACGGCGTTATTCCCATCATTGGGAAAGTCCCCCTGTGGAACCAATCAAAACACAGTAAACAGAAGCTAAGCAGAAGCTCGACTTCTTGGGTGAAACGAAGTTTATTTCGAGGAGTACAATTCAACATTTTATTAGTTTTTATGGATATTACCATAAAGATTAATTTTTTATAGTGAACCAAAAATTGCGTCACCTATATGGGCTATATGTATGTGAATGATGTGGCAGTAAAAGTATTAAATTTTCAAATCTAACTCGCCCCCGCACGTCTTATTTCCACATGACCATCTTGCATCTCAGTTTCCTTCTGTGTACCATCCCTCTCTGATTAATTGCTTGTCACATTCGCGCATTCACCTCCAGTACTCTATACCGTAACCATAGTCGCCTCTGTAAATTCCCCTATCAATTAATCCTGTCCGATCCTTACCTCTCCAATTCCCATAAGCACATACAGGTGTTTCCTTTTATCTGGCTTATTACATAAAGAAATTGAAAGCCTACAGGATCTACTGCACCCTAGTGATCGACTTAGAATCTATTTCGACATCCTAGTTTATAAAACAGCTGGTAGGAAGTCTGGTTTGATACATCTTTCACAATAAACATTTTTCACTATATCTTTTGGAATCATTTGCTTGTGTAGTATGCTTACCAATAAGTAATTCAACTACCTATGCTATCATAACAATATTCGTTATTTCCTCCTATCATCATCTGCCAGACCACACAGAAGGTTGAAAAGATATTCTGAATCTAAAATGCATTGTTGTGAAGAATTGGAACAATAGTGAATTACGTATTGGTATATCTATTCCATAAAAACACTTAAGAAAGAAGTTTCTAAGGGCAACATTTCTTTCCATACAAATTCCACAGGAATAAATATTTTCTTAAAACGAAACACATTAAGTTCGAACAAAATTTATTTAAAAACGAAAAACAACCATTTATTTCGACCCCTGGAATAAATGCATAAAAAATAAATTACAAGAAAAAAAACTTTGGACCTCTTCGAACCTGTGAAACCGAGCAACCCCCTTGAACCTAGGGTTCACTCGCGCCCATTCGCTTCTCCTATCTACGTTTCTTTCCCCCCCCCCCCTCCCCTGTGCGATTGTACACGTTTTTCGTTTACACACCGCCGCCTGTATGTATACGCATCTTCAACCGGTGCGTCCATGCCCAGGTAACACGCACACACAGACAAAGCAAGGCCCTACTTGCCCGTAGCGTAGAATATCTACACGGGTCACCGTGCACACGTATAGTGTATCTTTGATATCTGCCTCTGCGTCCGTTCGGCGGTTGTGTGTCACGTATAGCCAGCAGCGGCGACAGCGTCGTCCGTAGAAGCTCTCGGGCCTCTTGGTGCGTGCGTGTGTGGCCCTCCTCTCCGCCCCGGCCGAGGGTTGCTAGGTAGGCGGTAGGAGGTGGAGTAGCGGCGAACGCACAGTCGCTCCTCGATGGTCGGACGGTGAACGTGGCCCGGGCCTACCAGCACGTAAAACGTCCGCTTTAGTTTCCACTGGGACACCGTCGGCGCAACCACCTCAGCACAGGGTGTTGTGTCGGCTGCTGCCTCTATGGAGGTTTCGTGTGTTATCCGCTAAAGAGATCATTTTCCTGGAAGAACTATCGAGAAACATCATCAGCTCAATCAAGTAAGAAACCCCGTATATTTTTATAATATTTAACCGTAGATACCACCCTGAGTTAGGGTGGCACCGTCACTATTAACTTTAAGCTGTTCAAAGTGAGTACAAAGCTATTGGGGGATCGAGTGGAATACTTGGAGGAGGGGGAGGTGTATATTGTTTCTATCGGGGCGGTTCAAACCCAAAGGATTTGCGACAGTAATGCCCGGGGATTCGCGACCCAGAGATCCGTGTGCATCGTCGTACGCGCACACGTAGAACACTGCGTTACCAGGGGGGATATTGTATATATGGTTTGCGACGATTAGAGACCCAAGGGATCGCGACACGTCGACGAAACCGTACCGTGCTGTGTAATATTTGTAACAAACGGCCGGACTCGTATTACAATGTTACGTGTCGTTGATTCTGTCGCGTTTAATGCACGCGCGATACGCCGGACGGGAGTCGATATCGCGGAGCTTGCAGTGTATTACGTTTCCATCCTACCCCCCTTTCCCCATTGGGGGACAGTGTCTCGATGCCTTGAAGGAATTCTCTGTGTCGTCGTCACGACGCTGAAACGTTGCTGATAATTCCTTTAATACTGGGAATCGAGTTAGCCCGCCCTCTGCGATAGAAATTAACGGGGATAGGAAAGTTCGTGGCGGGAGCAACAAGTTTCCAGGGAGAGCACAATTTCACTTCACCCCCATACCAGCGCCGTCACACGGGATGGAATCTCTCCGTGGTAATTGCGAACTCGTCGAGCTCTCGTCTCGATTCGAACGAACTACAGTGATTTCTCGATGAATGCGACACAAGCAACCGCGGTATTCCCACCCTTGGGGGAGTCCTCCCGTGGAACCAATCAAAACACAGTAAACAGACGATCGGCTTCGGGCGAAAAACAAATTTCTGAGGGGCTGAAAACTTTTCCGCCTTGACATGAATACTCCGAAGTGGACCCAAGCACGTCGCACTCATCGAGACATTACTGTATCAGGAATTTATTTTCAAGCATAGCTACAGATATTTGTGCACGATAAACAAATGCCGTGTACGGAAACTTTTTATCTTTTCGCGACGAGGAACCGAGACGGTCAATATGGCGGGTGTGCATAGTTTCGAGGTAAAGATGGAGGAGTCCTTCGACGGAAAGAACCGCGGCGAACAAGGCGAGACGCGCTATTTACACGAATGCAAATCGGGGCCTGGCTTTTGACGACATTTTTCACGTGGTCCGCCGTCGGATTCGGACGAACGACATTCCCGAAAAATCGCTTTCACGATTTTTTTGCGGTACCTTTTGCCGCGTTATTTCGATCCTGAGAGGAACAGGATCTCTCCCAAGCGAGGAGGACGGACCCGCGCGCTCGACCGCTTCGCCACGCAAACATTACGAACGGGATTACACGAGTCCATGGGCAAACAGACCGGCGAAATGATTTTCCGTAAATGCGTTTCGAAATATGAACGTTTGCTCGGGCAAACAAAAATGATTTCCTGTAAACGCCCGCCCGTCCGCTCGCGTAATTGAATTATACGTTGTAGGTACCTATGTAGGTGGTACTAGTGTCTCGCGACCGATAGATGGTCATTAATCCGACGATCCACGTTCGTGTCGTCGCAGAACTTTCGCCCACTTTTCTGCATTTACAAAATTAACACTAGAACTACCGAATCCGTCAAAATGACGGATTACAGTATCTGTGAGAAATTCGAACTAGACTTTACGATGTTGCTTGCGGTAGAATGTGTTATAGAGTGGATTAAGCCCCCATAATCCTAGTGGGATATAGTGAATAAATGATAGCTTTAAAAATATTCAGGACACTTGGATTTATTGTTACTTAGACACGGATTATGAGTTTAGTTGTTTGTTAACTCAATTTTATCTTAGGAATATACACGTCACTCTATGTATAAATCATGAATAGTAAGATTATTTATCGACATTTATGCACAGATATTGTTTTACGATAATATTCTTTAGTAGTATAATATTTATTATTTATAACAAGGATGCGACTGTGTATGCATTTATACCGTATTCGAAAGTACAAAATGCAATAAAATGAAAGTTACAAAAATGTTTAACGAAATAATTCCTTATTTTTAATCTAATAGAACTAGTGATTAAAAAACTCAAGATTTACTTATCCGTGATTTTCGATAGTTCATGGATAACAATGGAAATTTGCATACACTTACAGTCTACTTATAGCAATAGCTTTTCGTAAGATTGATATAAAGATAAGAATTCACTGAAATAGAAATCTAATCACAAACAGCAAATACTCAGATATATTTTCGACAACGAAAATAGTTTCCAATTCCTTCCTTTCGAGACCTTAGATATAAAATTATTTTTGTATTCCGTAAACTGAACGTAAGGAATCCAGCGGTATTTTGTAAGAAATCTACACTAAACCTCTGAATAAATAAATTGCGGATGCAGTTCCGGTTACTATGACGGATAAGGACAAATAAACTTGTCCAATTATTACAGTTTGTGGTTTCGTGTTATCACGAAACAGAGTTAGACATGTACGTTTCACTGAAGCCTAGTCAGTCTATATTAGTGACAGTCTTATAAAATGTTTTTCTGGAATTACTGTGTAGATGAATACAGATATAACTGACTATAAATAAGTTTAAAAACACATGTATCTAGGATTTCAAAATAACAATTTAGGTGAACTTTGTATCTAATAATTTGATTCGAGAAAAACAAACACAAACACGTGGAAAAAGAACTTCTCTGAGCGTAAAATAAATACGGCGACTGCTCCAAATCCTCAAAGAAACAGAACTACGTACTGACAAGTGTAATGCAACTGAACATTATCGTCGTCAATAACCTTTGAATGCGAGAAAAAAAGCAAACAAACGCAAAGTACTTTGTAATACAAGAAAAACAAATTATTTTAAAAGGAATAAATTATTTAGAAAACGTCGAATAGAAAAGCAAACAAAGACGCATTTGTTATACTGTAAAATGCAGGCACGCTATCAGCAGAGATAATACGCGAAGGACGAATTTACCTGCGATTACTTGACAAACACGGTCGAACGATTAACCGTGTCGGTATACCTGCGACGTTCGTTGAAGTCACTTTCGTTATAATATAATTAACGTTCTCCCGCTTGATAAAATTCGCAAGTACAGTCATAACCGAGGCATAATGATACTCTTATGAAAACGTTGTATTTTCCTTGCAATATAAACTGTCAGTTTTTGAGATTTCGAACATCAAATTCACAAAACTTCGAACGCACACTTCCTTCCCCCTCGAACAATTCGGTATGATTTTCAATATTCTTTGAAAGATAATTTTCCTTCGAGTAGAAATAATTTTCCTTTTATTAAGGAGAAGCACGCTTAATCTATGTTTCGAATAAAATATACAGAAAGTCTGTGATTGCTTCTGGATTTTCTATCGCAGGTGCGTCCTATAACGGTGTGGCTAATGACGGCGTATCGCTCGATCGATAGATTAACGCGCTGCCTAATTTATCAAGTGTTTTATATAGTCGTGACATTATTTTAATCAGAACGATAGAGCATTTTATCGCGACGATACCTCTAGCGTTTCCGTTATCACACGCAATGAAAAGAAAGTTAAAAGAAATTGGAATGAAAAATTATGAATGCAACGCCCCGAAATAGAACCCCTATTTCGTGTGCCCTAATCGATATTCGATCTAAATACACTAAAAACACGGGTAACGCGACGTGTTATGCAAAAGAGAATGAAAAAAGAAAGCGAAGTAATATCGATCGCGTCTCGATTCTCGTACACGAATCACACTTGTGCCTTGAACGGTAGAAAAAAAAATGTCTTAATTATGAAACGGATTGACGGAGAACACGCGTGCGTTACTTGCAGCTAATTAAATCGATCCTTGTACTTTAACCTTACAGTCGGTAGTTCTAGATCCTTGGTAATATGCAGTTTCACGCGACACGTTGTATATTGCCTATCGTTTCAAACGGTTACGCTACACTTTTACCGACCAATAGAAAAATCATGTTTGTCGTTGATTCAATTAAGAATTGGATTCTTATTTTCAGAATTCAAGAAAATGGATGAAAACTTCCGGTTTCTTTTTTGTAATTTCAGTTTTCTTTTTTCAATTCCATATCTATTTAACCCTTGTATGGGCAACCAAAATATTCACGGTTATTCTACTATTCTGAGAGATTAGATAAACATATGTAATTTTACTTCCATACTTTTCCGAAACTCTTAGTTTGCCCTTCCTATAATATACCAAGTGCTGTTTTAAACGAGAACATAAAAAATTGTGAAAGGAAATTTAGAAATGAGTACCTGGGTACGCGGATACTCGGTTGCCTAGACAAGGGTTAAAATATAAGAATGTATTTGACGAGATTTTTACTGTCCAGTGACTTTGAGTAGAATCTTTCTGTGAGAAAAGAAAATTGAGAGTACATGAAAAGTAGATACAATAGAGTAAATGTATTGCTCGCTTTGTACGTGCTATTTAAGAATATATGATATGAATTTGTTAATAATTTTCTGGTAGAAAATTACTAGCAATGTCAAAAATTTGATTGATTAAGAAAACTTACTGGCAATGTCACAAATGTTTGATTGATTGGATCTCGATTTGCATAATGAATGGACTGCGGATGTTTATGCAAATATAGACTTTGGTGGACTAATGGGAAACTGGAATTAAAGAAAAATTTGTTTATAATGGGATTTGTCAAGTTGCAAATAACATAAAAACCTAATTAAAATTTACTACGGTGTAAAAATTAGTTATAGACAATTGTGTATGACATAAATGCATAAAAATATACAGTGTATCCTGTGTAAAAATATACAGGGTGTCCTATAAATGATTGTACCAGCAGAAAAATAAATTATGGGTTTATGCAAGAAAAATAGTTAAAATATTGAATAAAGTTTTTGTTGTAATTCGCGTCATTTTCTAGATGATTGAGTTCGAAATTTAACTCTAAGGAAAGGTATATGAACCTCTTAGTGGTTTAG